TGTTGAACTGGTCTCTCTGGTACGGTTTTACCAGGTGAGCAGGCACCACCTTGGACCTGTCAGTGGTAGAACACAAGCATRCCCTCTCCCCRGGGTTAGTAAATCATCAGGGCCTCACTATTGCACACCCAATGGTAGAGTCTTACATAAAATTTTTGGAAATTGGTTCTGCACATGCAAACCTTGAGAAAAGTATCCCTCTGCCAGGGATCATAATTGATGATCTGTGTTTGAAAAATGTACTGTAAATATCACATTATCTAATTGTTATTGAGGGGTAATGCTCCCCCTTTTTCAATGAATAACATGCACTTCTCTTAGTATGAACATCAACACAGAGCAAAACAATACAGGTAATAAAGTAATAAGCTCACCACGTGCTCAGTGTTAGCACCAAGCAAAAACAAATAAGGCAAAACATGCAATCAGTAGTACACCAGTGGAAGGATTGTGATTTACAAAGATGCTTTTATCAACTGCCTGCACATTTCCCTATTGCCCAGGGTCTGCAATAGCTGGCTAGCCCCATTTCACAGGTAGGATCTGGAGAACCTTTCCCGGGCAAAGTTTCCAASTTTACCCTGAAGGGGTTCCAGCTTTCATAAGCCCAAATTGGCAAGCCAAAGGGACTTGATTACATTTTTAGTGCAGAAGCACATGGGTCTGTTGGCACTTCCCAACCACCCAGGGCCAGGGCTTGGCCAGAGCCTAGGCCTCAACTGGGAGGGATTCCCTAAAGTATCCTACAATCAGGATTCTAACAATCCAAATTCTGAACATTTCATAGCATTTCACATTTCTTGAATATAACTTCAATTTTTATACACCATAACAACTCATGTTCTAAAGCCATTGCTCACCCATTTCCATCAAAATTATTTCAGTGGATTGCATCTTCTCTCTATAACAAAAGAACTTAATATTTCATTGTAAATAACATAATAGAACAAAATTTAAACTTAATTTCATTTAAACTTAATGTCATTCCAAAGCAACATCATCTAAACTTGACATCAGTGAACCAAAATTACATGTGACAGAGCTTAAAATTATCAGAACCTAAATTTAACTTCAGTTTAACAGATCTGAAAATCTAAAGACCTCAAACTTAGCACCATTGCAGTTTAACAAAGCTTACCACTTAATGACACTTAATAGGTAGCTGAAGCTACTCAGCAATTGAGTAGCTTAAAATTTACTATAACACAGTAGTAACTCACTTACAGGCCAAAGTTACCAATCTAAAATAGCTAGGAAGTATCTTACTTGCTGCAGCACTTTCACACACGCACGCAGACACACACACAAAGAGTGCGATCAAGGTCCACCCGTGGCAAAAGGTTACCTTGAATTCAGTGAAGCGCACACTTCGGACACCTTTGCATCTCTTCAGTGGGTACCCTGCTTAGCACCTAAAATTTAAGAGAACTAGATTCAAAGTTTAGAGTGTTACTTTGATAGTTTCAGGCACAAGCCACTTTAAGTCATTGACTTCAGTGTTGCAATAAACCAAATGAAAATCTGTTACAAAAGGTAAACATCAATGAGCAATATGCAAGCTCCTTTTTCTCCTTTTTTCTCATTCTTTCTTTTTCCTTTCTCTGTCTCCCTTTTTTTTTTTTTTKAAACAAATCACAGAGTTGTAACTTAAATAGCAGCAAGATGCAGCTCTAGCAATTGACATCATTTCGTTTAGAGGATAGCTAATGGTAGCTATAAGCATTGTTGAAAATGCTTGCTCATTGTCAGTACCTTTCCAGTATTACTTTACCACGATTTTTCAAAGTGCAGCCTTACTCAGAGAAACTAAAACATTGTATTTAAAACATGCTCAGTTCAGAGATGGTAGGACAGCTTCTACTAATTGTCATTACAATACATTTGAAATATAAATACTTAAGGATATAATTAGATAATACTGCCATGATTTCTGCACATGTAACTTTGTGAGTTCAGTGGGAAGCTAAGACCAAGGCATGCACCTAAGCAGCCACAGTCAGCCCTCACTGACCTCAAAGGAATGAGCTACTGCATACCACACTGTTCCCTTTCTCCACAGAACAGAGGGCTTCGGAAACTCAGCCACTGTGCAGAGAGCACAACACTTATGGGAAAATCCCTTCCGTGACATGGTGTCACTTTTAGTCATTTTGTACTGTACGTAGTGAACATGTATGTTCATGGCAAAATAATCACCTTCAAATTTTCTGATTAAAGCTGTACAAGCAAACAGGTAAAACCAGCACTATTCTGTATGGTGTTACAGTAGAGAATCTYRAGTGAATTATATCCAACTCCTGAACAGCTTCCACAGATAACACTCAAGGAGTTAGGTCCAGCATGGCCTTACACACTTAATTGTTCGTAGAAACTCTTATAAATCATTCATTTTTTTTTACTTCAGTTAATTATTATGGCCTAATATTTGTCCAGTTACTGATCACTATAAATATTTTGAGATCTACTGAATTTGTCAGGGCCTTTTGCATTCATGCTGAGTAAAATTAAAAGTCCTCTGAGGGGATAGCCCAAAAATGCAATACCTACTACTTTCCTAGTCTCCTATGGAATAAGAAAAAGGGTTTAGTCCAGCAAATAACAGGACACAGGGTGCTGCCTGAAATTAGTTGCTTTGGCATCCCAAGGACACAGAGCTGCCTGGGCTAACAGCCATTCCCAAAGCTTCTGTTGGATAGGTGCCAACAGGTTCAGCTCCTTGAAACCTGGGCTGTGTACAGGAAAATATAAATTTAACCCTATAGCGTTAACTGTGATGCTTCAGTTTTATCAGAGTTGGATAACATTATAACCTCAATTTGCACATCCCAATGAAGCTGATGCAATGTATACAACTGAGCACAGCAAAAATTACTCCTTCCAGGTAAACACTGCATRTACATSTATTGATCTAGCCAATCAAAGGACTGACTWYTCAACACATAAGCARCCCCTSAATGGCAAATGTACATGCCAGTACCATAAAGACAGAGAGGAAGCCTTTAAACCTGGGATAACCYCAGASAGAAAGAGAGCAGAGGTCTATCCACAGCAAAAGCTTCAAATAAGGTAAACTCTTGCCATTCATGTACCAGTTCTGATCTAAGGACCATAGGATTCTCAGCTTGGAGGAGGCTTTTGACAAAGATCATGTATCTTTTCCTGGAACTCTGGAAACACTGGAAAACCACAAAGCTGATCAAGTCATAGCAAACCTGCTTACCTGGCTTCTGACATCCGACCCGACTTCTCACTCAGCATTTTCAAAGACTCTCAGGTGCCCAAACTGTACCACAGAAAAGTGATAAACAGTGAGAAAAAAACCCAAACTGCAACATCCTAATGCAGTGCTTGACCTTGCTTCTGACACTCCAAACTCCTGGCAGAGGCACCAGAAGGAGTTTGAGCTCCTGCAGCATCCTTTCTGCCCCAGCCCATCCTGCGCAGCACAGCCAGGTACATAAGGCACAGTCACAAACAAACACAATACATCTCGATCCCTACCAAAACATAAGCAAACCCGACACGGGAATTCCAAGAGCAGTASTTTRTGTGCACAGATTAGACCAGGGCAACGGTTGTAACTGCATCTCACTTGGCTGCACTGCTCCTCATCCAGAGGTGAGGCTGCTAAGAGCCTCGGCAGCCAGCACCTAGCTGCAGGTGCCAGGCTTGGTATGTCACGGGACAGGGAGACCTCCGTGTAGGTGGCCAAGGTTTATTGGAGAAATCGTCAAATTCCAGGGACTCATACACAAACATAAGCTGCAGTACCTTCTGAAATGCAGAGGTGTTTCTGACCCACAGAAACTGATACAGGTTACCCAGACACCAGTGCCCACAGCCGCTCTCACCCACAAATCTGCTTAATACCCCTAATGCATGGGAAAGGCAGGCTTGCCTTCCACTGCCATCATTACAATCACAGGGAAAAGCTGTTCCCCCTAAATTTGGACACGGACAATAATGGTAAAGGAAGTTTTTCCTCTCAGTTTAAACTCCTTTTGTCTTAATAACCCTTCTCTTTTCTGAGGGCATTGTGCAGGGACTGGGGGCCCTGGGGAGGGACTAATGAGATGAAAGAGGCAATTTCCCCCTGGGACCCCGCACGCTGMCCTGCTTTCTCAGGTGCTGTCCCTTGGMACGAGAGCTTTTGCCACAGCATGTTCTCGGTGCCATGTTCCGTGCCCGGGTGCGTCCGGCTYCTGCCCGACCCCTGTCCCGGCCCCRTCRTTCCCGGAGGGACGCTCGGGGTGCCCCAGTTGACCCCTCTGGACTAGCGGGTCCCTGCACAGGGGAACCCTCTGAGAGCTGCCCCCGGCGGGAGCCGCCCAATCTTCGGCTTCACCGGCCATACCGGGGGCCGCTCTACCCAGGACTGGGGGGGAGATGGACAAAGGGCTGCCGGACCCTCCCTCCCCTGTACACTCCATTGTCTGTATCTGAAACAGCGGGGGATGCCGGGCTTTCCTTTCCATGGAAAACAACGGCTCTTCTCGTCCAGGTGCCCTCGCCAGAATTGGGATTCTGCCACCAAAAATCCCGGGTTCCTAGGTTTGTAATTACAGGGGAAACTCCCCACAGATCGTAAGCGCTTACCAGGGTAGAATCACACGAGTAGTCCCGAACCGACTCTTGGGTTCTGCTCCTCGTAAGAACTCCCCGCCGGGACTGCAGGCGAGCTATGTCGGACCCGCGGGGCGGTCCCCCCTCCCCCCGGTGCGAGCGGACGGAGAGCGGGGCGGCGCCGCGAGACCGGGACCGAGACCACGGGACAGTCCGTACAGGCTCGGCCGCCGGGCGAGACGGAGCGGGCGCTGCCGAGCATCTCGGCTGCGACACGAACGCGGCGGCGGCGGCAGCCCCGGGGCTCGGCCGTGGCCCCAGCCCGCCGCCACCGCGGGCTTGGGGAGAGGCCGGAACCGGAAGCGTCCGCCCCGGGGCTCGGGGGGGCTGCCGGGAAGGGSAGTACGGCAAGCCGCAAAGGCCATCTCCAGCCCGGCGGCGAGCCCTGCGCGGACTACAAGTACCGTGAGCCCTCGTGCGAGGAGGGAGCGGGTCCCGTGAATGCCCGCGCGGGGCCGCACTACAGCTCCCATACTTCCCTCACGCCGCCTGGCGTCTCCGCTCCGGTCCCGATTTAAATCCAGGCAGCGAGGAAAATGGCGGTGCGGGATTGAGTGCGGGGAAGACGGAGATGAACCTGTGCTTTGGCTCGTTTCCCAGGTGAGTGGGGTTCGGAGGGAGGGAGTAACGAGTGGAGGGAGGAGAGTTCTCGTTCGCTTTCGCCTGCTCCTTGTGCTCGGGTGGGACTGGATGGCGGAGGGGGCGCTGCCCCTTGCCGGGGAAGGGAGAAGCTCGGGGGTGGCCCTGAGGGGCGGCTGTTTTCTGTCTCTCGCCCCCTTCCTCAATATGAACGTCGCTCCTTGAGGGGAGGAGGAAGGGGAGCCTAGATCGGTTATGCGTGAGGACTATTCCTACGGCTGGCGATGAAGGCATTCCCCGGGCAATGTGGGCCTGCCTTTACTTCTTTCCAGCTATTGTAACTTTATTGCCGACTTGAGTTTGAAGGGACATTCCCGGGGCACCGGCGGGAAATCGATTTGTGGAGCGAAGGCTTGTCGTATCGTTGTGCGATGCGTATCTTAAGTATGGTGATTTGAGGCGGAGGTTCCTCGTATAGCACCGGGAGACTTGAGGTCGGCGTGGACTTGGCTGTAGGATCGTCTGATCCGCGCTTTTTCAGCTTCAGCGGAGGCGGGGTGTGGGTGAGATATCTCGGTTACAATGGCCCCCTCTGCCATTCATCTGGGTTTATCTGGTACCGAGGCGATTCCAAAGACCTCGATATCTGCCCTCTCCCGCGGTCATCCTGTAACCTCGGTAAGTTTCAGAGATGACTTCTCTTGTTTCCTTGTCTCTGGTAACAAGGAAAAGGATGACAAGTACTGCGAGTAAAAGGTCGATTTCCATGCCTCCTACACATTTTTGCCTCGTAACTGTATTAAGACTGTGTTGTTGAGGGGTGGAGATGAGATTCACCACCCCCCCCCCCCCCCCCCCCGAGGTCGCGTACCAGTTCAGGTGTTAGTGTTTCTGGGATATAAATGGAGTGATTATGACTTAGTATGTAGCGTGAGGGTGACATAATTCCCACAATTCTCTTTCTCTTGGTTGTAAAGTTGGATCCGTTTGTGGTTTTTGCTGCCGCTCCTAAGCACGGTCAGGTTTTTCTTCAAAAGCGAAGCTTCTCAATTTGTGAGCTCATATTCAGATTCATTTAAATCTTAGGTATCTTCTTCGTCTTTTATAGAGAAGTTAACAGAAAATAGTATTTTTGATTATAACTGGAATAACAAGACAAAACAAAAGGAAATCTGAAAGTGTGAGGGATGGCAATACCTAGCTATATAGTATCTGTTATGCAGTTGAAATGGACTCTTACAATAAGCTTGAAATTCTATCGTCATTCGTGTAAAAATAAATATTTTCTCATATAATATTTTCGCCTTAGTTTCATCTTCACACTACACAAAGTTGTGTGTTCTGAATATAAAAGATAACTTCATAGGAGAAATAGTATATGAGTGAAAACCTGAGAATAAAAGCTTGGGTTTACAGGAAGTGGACAAAACTGGGTGGTTTGGGGGGTGGTGGTTGGTGKTTTTTTTTTAGTTTATTTCATTTTTTTACTGTTGTTTTTTGAAACAAGATTGTGCATTATAGCATGCAGTAATTATATTTACTGTTGACTGCCGTTACAATGGGCTGTTCAACTGACTTTTGTAAAGTCTTTCAATTCTGTTACTGCCGTTGTATGGCTTTTTTTTTAATAATAACAGTGACCTTGATGGATTCCTTGCTGCGATTTGACTATAGAGGCTGTCGGATATGGGAAGTGATAGACAGACAGACTATACCGAGCATTCACCCAGCCTCACTTTAAGCACCTCTCCTGATTACAGCGTGTTGTTTCCAGTCTGATTTTAATCGGAATRTGAATTGTGTGCATTTTGGGCTTGCTCGTGGTTTTCTGTTTCTTTTCACTGTTCATTTGAAGCCCTTGTTCATCCTGGCTTTGGATTTATTAACTTGGAAGTTTTCCTTTGGCAAGTTTTTTTTTTTGTT